CAAGGGTTTAAATTTTCTCCAAGGCAGAAAATTGAGGCCCCGGCCTTCAGGGTTCAGCATGCCACACCGAGGCCCAGATTTAGGCCCTTGCTTCAATCGGAGAACTCGGAGTGTGTGTAAGGAAGGGGAAGTTGTGGGGGCCAAAATGGGTTTTTTTTGGTTGTTTTTGAATCTGGGGGCAGCTGAGACTATTGAGGCCCGAGAAGCAAGAAGCCAGCAGCCCTGGAGCCTTTGTTGCATCTCCTGGGCTGTGCATGATGCTGGCTGGAAAAAGGGGGATGTTGGCGGCTGCCTTTGGCCTCTTTTTGCAGAGCACAGGCCCGTCTGGGAAGGGGTTGAAATTTATTTATTTATTTATTTAAGTGTGGGCCAGAGTTGGGCAATTATATGTATGTGACTGGTGATAGGGAAGGCAGTGTGGGAGAGAGCTTGTCATTAGCCTACTTGTGTGGCTTATGGGGCAGGGTCCTTACTTTGGAGCTGCAGTTACTAATTTAATCCTTGCTGTATGCTTGAGACCCAGTGTGCAGGATTATTATTTTTGTTTGCACCATGAAACCGCCATGGTTAGGGGAGTGCAATGAAGTTTTCTTTTTTTCTCACCACAACACATGGAAGCTTCTGTTGGCCCCAGAAGCAATTGGAGTAGTGGCAAGGCTCCAGGGTGGAAAGGTGCAGGCCTTGGCATGGCATGCTAAACCCTATGCCACTATGAGAAAAACTCCATCTTTTCTGTGATCAGAGATTTCGACAGTACAGTTCTGCACTGTCAATCAAAAAATGTAATTGAAGGCAAAGTGAAATAAACTAATTACATAAATATAAATCAGATTACAATACTGACTGTATTATTCATTTTCATATTTAAAAACCTTGCATCACATAAACTTCGTTTCTTCTTGCCACAGTATTAGTTCCAGCTTTCTACAGAGAACACAGGGCTCTGCATGTAAACAAGACTATACTTATCGTAAATCCCAGGAGATGCATGATGTCTCCATTACAGAACTCTCCTAGACTTCCAAATAAAGTCTAAGTCTAACCACAGTATGCAGTTCTGGTTTCATAGTTTGCAGAGGGCAGAAAAGGCACAGTGGAGGGCTATAGTGGAGACTTGGAGAATTCGGAGGGTTCTTTCAAATTAACAGACTTAAAAGAGATCCATTAAAATGTTCACTCTTGAGAGAAGGAGACACAAGAAATTCAGTCCTGGTCTACATGTGGTTAAAATAGATATCTATTCTGAAAAAGTGAATAAAAATGATGTTGTAGCATTCCAGTGTTTATATATTAGCAGTGCACTGTTTAAAAATATTTTATCTGCCAACCTTGCAAATTCAGCCTTCAGTCTTGAAAACCTAATTTTCTGATTTTTGGGTTTCTGCTGTACAGAAAGGATGTGGACAAACTGGAGAGTCCAGTGGAGGACAATGAAAATAGGGGACTGGGGCACATGATTTATGAGGAGCAGCTGAGGGAACTGGGCTTATGGGTACCTATACCCATGCAAGGCAGGCATTTCCAAATGTGCTGCAACTTTGTGCTTTACTTAAAATGTTTTAGATACAGCACCTTAAACCTTAATAGATGTTCCACAGCTTGGTGCGAGTTTCATGTCTTGCCTTAGTTCTGTAGAGTAGAAGGCAGGGGACACTGGATGCTGCACAATGCAGCCTCAGGTTGCTTGGATGCCCAAGTTAAGTACGCATGCAATAAAGGCAAACTAGGTAGGCTGAGATGCACTACTGCAGTTTGCCTTACTTTTAAAAAAAACAAAAGCAGAAGTTGCCTTAATTAAACCTTGTTATACGTGTGATTTAAAACACATATAACAAGATTTAATTAAGGCAACTTCTACCATTCTAAATTGGCAACTTTAAAGTTGACCCTCCAAGAATCAGATTGTATACATAGTAGAAATTTAAAACTTTCTGAAGTCACCCACATGTATTAAGTGACGGCTTTAGTATGCTTTAAGTGGCAAAAACTGTCATGTGTATAGGCACCCATTCAGTCTGAAGAAGAGATGACAGACAGTATTTAATAGCAGCCTTCAACTACCTGAAAGGTGGTTCCAAAGAGGATGGAGCTAGACTGTTTTCAGCGGTGGCAGATGACAGAAGAAGTATCAGTGGTCTCAAGCTGCAGCAAGCGAAGTTGAGGTTAGATATTAGGAAAAACTCTCTCACTAGAAGGGTAGTAAAGCACTGGAACAGGTTACCCAGAGAGGTCGTGGAATCTCCATTGTTGGAGGTTTTTAAGTCCAGGCTAGACAAAGCCTTGGCTGGGATGATCCTGCTTTGAGCAGGGTGTTGGACTAGATGACTTCTTGAGGTCCCTCCCAACCTTAATTTTCTATGATTCTATGATAAAATGGAACCTATTTAAGATCTTTTCCTAGAATTAACCGACAAAACTTCTCTGCAGGAGGCCCGAATGAAAGGTCATATATAAAGGCACACACTCCCTTCCCTTTTGTTTTAGGGGTGGCTAACCTGCAGCCCATGTGTCACAAGCAGCATGGGCTTCATGGGGCATGGGAGCCCCATGGGCTCTGTAAACATACTGGAATGAAGGCACGGAGCAGAGCAGGGGTAGGACAGTGGTGAGAGAAGAGGCATCAGGTGTCACTGTCAAGAGCCAGGGTAACCCTTCCCTGGCACTTCAACTATTGCCAAATTCAGGGCTCACTCACCATAAAAACCTGCAGCAGCTGTGGGGGTCAAAAAAAGATAAGCTTGGATCTTGGTGGTGCCACCTCCTTTTGCAGCAGTGTCCTGCTCCTTCTCTGCTCTGTAGCCACAGCCAGAGGTTTGAACCCCCCTGCCTCCATTCTGGTACCTCAGTGGCAAACTCTATCAGGTACACCTTTGGGTGGGCACAGAGGCAAGACAATCAGCAAGACACTGGGCAGGGGGAGGGAAGAGGGAGGCAGCTTATCTTGTGGGTTGCCTGCCAGAAAAAGTTGGTTACTACTAGTCTATTTCATCCACTCCTTTCCCCTTCTTTGCCATCCTACCTTTTTTTTTAAACAACTACTATAAAATATCCATGTACGGGGAATGGTAAAATGAGAGAACCCTAGCACCACTACTTTTTTGGGTGTACAGTACTTTTGTATTGTTTTATACATTGGCACTTAGAACTCATTTGGCTTGGATCATCCTAATACTTAGCAAATAGTCCTCAATGGCTCAATGTCTATTTGGGAGGAGGTATCAGGCAGGATTTCCTAGGGGTCTGCCCTGGGTCTGGAATTGTTCAGCATCTTCATTAATGATCCGGATGATGGGATTGAGTGCCTGCTTAGCAAATCTGCAGACTACACTAAGCTGTGTAGAATTGTGGACATTCCAGAAGGCAGGACTATAATTCAGAATGATTTGGATGGACTGGAGAAATGGTATGCAGTCAGTCAGATGAGATTCAATAAGGATGAACACAAAGTCCTCCGCTTGGGACAGAATAACTGCATGGTCAAATACAGACTGGGGAATAACGTGCTAAGTGGCTAAGCTGCAGTACTGCAGAGTAGGACCTGGGGGCTGTGGTGGACCATAAGGTGAATATGAGCCAACAGTGTGCTTTTGTTGCCAAAAAAAAAAAAAAAA